GACCTTCGTGCTGTTCCTTTCCCCAGGGATAATCTCAACCTTCCTCCACGTGCATCCCTTTGGGGCCAGCATTGAGTACATCTGCTCCTACCTGCAGCGCCTGGACAGCAAGGTGGGTGTGGGCCAGCTAGGGCTGCACAGGGACACCTGGGCTCTGCTCCCTGCAGAAATCTGCTGCAAGAGGACCAGGGCTGGGGTGGATTTCTGGATGACAGGATGGTTTGTGCTGGGAGGGACCTCAAAGCCCATCCAGTTCTTTGCCCTGCCATGGGCAGGGACACCTGCCACTGTCCCAGGTTGCCAAAGCCCAGCTTTGGGGTCCACCACTAACCACATCCCCAAGTTCTCCTGTGCCCCTTGTGCTCCTTTCTGGAGTAAATGGGAGCGGCTATGCAAAGGCTCCGGGATGTAGGAAGGAATCACATCTCATTCTGCTCTATCCTGGTCTCCAGCTCTCTTCCTTAAAGAGCCCCAGGGACAGGAGGCCCCACATGGGAATCCTGTCTTGGGATTGGAACTTATCCAGCTGCTTGTGTTTATAACTCAGTGTTTAATTTACCCTTTCCTAAGAAAACGTGGCTCCCTGCCCTGGCTCACTCCAGCCTTATCTTTATGAGTTAATTTTTATCTCATTCTAGCTTGGAATTTGTCTGTGGGGCCACCAGCTGCCTTTATTTTGGTTTGGAGCTCCTGTAAAACTGCCATCATAGCACTCAGCTGCCTTCTGGAGCTTCCTCTTTGGTATCCACGGAGCAGAGAAGGCTCCTGGAAGGTTCTCCTTGGGAGAGCCCACCCTTAAACCTGTGCTATGGCATCAGTCTCCTCCTGCTCAGGGCTGTTCCCCTTGTCCTTTGTGTTCCTTCCGAGATCTTCTGTCTCCTCCTTGACTCTTGCAGGAGCTCAGATGAGTTTGGGATGTTATTTTTAACCCTGAGCAGGGCCCGAGGTGAGGCAGGAGGAGGGGGAGTTCTTAGAATACAACCAGGTTTCTTGAAGCTGCTGACAGGAAGGGAAGGGGAATATTTTTTCCCCTGTTCCCTGTCTGTCATTCTCACCAAGGTGGTCAGCAGAGAGCACAAAAATTAAGATCCAAGGTGGTTTGGAGCCATGGAAGAGCCCTTCAGAAGCTGCCTGTGGCCCTGAGTGTGGCTAGGCAGGACCTCGGGTTCCTCCTCAGCTCTTGGCCCTGTTGGACACAGCTCCTGCTGCCCCAGGAAAGCCTGGATGAACTCCAGCCATGTAACTGTTTGAGTCTGAGTTATCAGCAGCCTCCAGGGCTTCCATCCCCACCCTGAGTCCTGTTTCCTTTGTGCTGGCACAGATCTGCACGGCCGAGGTGGAAGTGCTCATGACGCGACTGCAGAACACGTTCCGGCAGGAGCTCAGTGGGGTCGGGGCCAGCCTGGAGAAGAGGTGGAAGTTTTGTGGCTTTGATGGGTTGAAAATGACTTGAGCTTTGACTTCTCGCTGGAAGCAGCGGGATAGGGATGCTGAGGAAAGCCGGGATGCTCCTCCCTCTGCTCCTGCCATTCCCACCATGGCCCTGGGTAACAAAGAGTAAAAGTGAAACCAAGTCCAGAGCACCACTGGAAGAACCTCCAAGTTCTGCAGCTCCTTTGATCAGTTATTTGTTAATGGGCAAGTGCTGTTCAATATATTTGGGGAAAAGCTCCTGCCTGACCCTTTGAAGCACAGCGTGTCGACTCTGTGTTCTGCCAATGTTGTATGTGCTTGTGTGCCCAAATTCCTCCTCCTCAGCCTTCCTTCTGCTAGGAACAGCCACAGACTGTCCTGAACCAATAACAAAGGGGCATCTTCTGCTTTCTAGATCACCAAAAGGGGAAAAAAAAGGCATTTTTTAGATATTTCTGTGAGTAAAAACCAAGGTATGTTTAAACAGAAGATTTGGATGGCTCAGGGGCCTCTGAGCCAAGGAATTGGTTGTTTTTTGTGCTGTTTTCTCTGTTAGAAGTTGAGCTGAGGTGGGGGCAGAGGGGGATTCTGGCAGTGCCACTCGTGCTCTGGGTCAGTCTGTACAGAACCTTTTACATTGATTTTCTGGGGATGTGGGTGGAGCAGAGCTACATCAGCCTGGCTTTTGGTGATTTTTACCACCCAGCTCCACCTGCTTTGCGTTGGAGACCAAGTTCAAGCAGCACAGACTCCTCTG